GGACCCCCCCCGTGGCACCCCAGCACCCATGGGACCCCCCCCGTGACACCCCAGCACCCATGGGACTCCCCCCGTGACACCCCAGCACCCATGGGACCCCCCCCCCCGGACCCCCCCCGTGGCACCCCAGCACCCATGGGACCCCCCCCGTGACACCCCAGCACCCATGGGACTCCCCCCGTGACACCCCAGCACCCATGGGACCCCCCCCGGACCCCCACACCCATGGGACCCCCCCCCGGACCCCCCCCGTGGCACCCCAGCACCCATGGGACCCCCCCGTGACACCCCAGCACCCATGGGACCCCCCCCCGGACACTCCCGTGGCACCCCAGCACCCATGGGACCCCCCCGTGACACCCCAGCACCCATGGGACCCCCCCCCCCGGACCCCCCCCGTGGCACCCCAGCACCCATGGGACCCCCCCCGGACCCCCCCGTGGCACCCCAGCACCCATGGGACCCCCCCCGGACCCCCCCCGTGGCACCCCAGCTCCCATGGCCCCCCCCCGGACCCCCCCCTCCCACCTTGGGGGCACCCCTGCTTTTAGGGACACCCCCCCCCGGGACCCCCTCCTGAGGAACACACCCAAGGGACCGCCCCACCCATGGGACCCCCCCAGCACCCAGGGCCCCCCCCACCCATGGGACCCCCCCAGCACCCAGGGACCCCCCCACCCATGGGACCCCCCCACCCATGGGACCCCCCCAGCACCCAGGGACCCCCCCACCCATGGGACCCCCCCAGCACCCAGGGCCCCCCCCACCCATGGGACCCCCCCAGCACCCAGGGCCCCCCCACCCATGGGACCCCCCCAGCACCCAAGGACCCCCCCAGCACCCAGGGACCCCCCCAGCACCCAGGGACCCCCCACCCATGGGACCCCCCCAGCACCCACCTCTCACTGGTTTGCCGCAGGCGCTTGAGCTGCGCAGCCTGAGCCTCCAGAGCCACCTCCCGCAGCCGCTGCTGGGCCTGAGACCAGTACAGACCAGTATGGACCAGTACAGACCAGTATGGACCAGTACCAGTATGGACCAGTACGGACCAGTATGGACCAGTACAGACCAGTACGGACCAGTACAGACCAGTACAGACCAGTACGGACCAGTACGGACCAGTATGGACCAGTACGGACCAGTACGGACCAGTATGGACCAGTACAGACCAGTATGAGCCGGTACAGACCAGTATGGATCAAGAAAGATCAGTACAGGCCAGTATGCACCAGTACAAATCAGTACAGACCACCATGGATCAGTATGGCCCAGTACAGACCAGTATAGACCAGCGTGGCCCCAGATACTGCTGTTTTTGCAATAGCCCAGGGCTCCCAATGCTCCCAGTCCCTCCCAGTGCTCCCAGTGCTCCCAATGCTCCCAGTCCCTCCCAGTGTTCCCAATGCCTCCCAGTGCTTCCAATGCCTCCCAGTGCTCTCAGTGCCTCCCAGTGCTCCCAGCACCTCCCAGGGCTCCCAGTCCCTCCCAGTCCTACCCAATGCTCCCAGTGCCTCCCAGAGCTCCCGGCACTCCCAGTCCCTCCCAGTGCTCCCATTGCTCCCAGTGCTCCCAATGCTCTGTGCCTCCCATTGCTCTCAGTCCCCCCCAGTGCTCCCAGTCCCTCCCAGTGCTCCCAGTCCCTCCAAGCGCTCCCAGTCCCTGCCGCAGGTGCCCCCAGTCCCTCCCATTGCTCCCATTGCTCCCAGTCCCTCCCAGTGCTCCCAGTCCCTCCCGGTGCTCCCATTGCTCCCGGTGCTCCCAGTCCCTCCCGGTGCTCCCATTGCTCCCGGTGCTCCCAGTCCCTCCCGGTGCTCCCATTGCTCCAAGTGCCTCCCAGTGCTCCCAATGCCTCCCAGTGCTCCCAGTCCCTCCCAGTGCCCTGTGCCTCCCATTGCTCTCAGTCCCCCCCAGTGCTCCCAGTCCCTCCCAGTGCTCCCATTGCTCCCAGTGCCTCCCAGTGCTCCCAATGCCTCCCAGTGCTCCCAGTCCCTCCCAGTGCTCCCAATGCTCTGTGCCTCCCATTGCTCTCAGTCCCCCCCAGTGCTCCCATTCCCTCCCATTGCTCCCAGTCCCTCCCAGTGCTCCCAGTCCCTCCCAGTACCTGCCGCAGGTGCTCCCAGTCCCTCCCAGTGCTCCCATTGCTCCCAGTGCTCCCGGTCCCTCCCATTGCTCCCAGTGCTCCCAGTACCTGTCGCAGGTGCTCCCAGTCCCTCCCAGTGCTCCCATTGCTCCCAGTGCTCCCAGTCCCTGCTGCAGGTGCTCCCAGTCCCTCCCAGTGCTCCCAGTCCTTCCCAGTGCTCCCAGTCCCTGCCGCAGGTGCTCCCAGTCCCTCCCAGTGCTCCCAGTACCTGCCGCAGGGGCTCCCAGTCCCTCCCAGTGCTCCCAGTCCCTCCCAGTCCCTCCCAGTGCTCCCAGTGCTCCCAGTCCCTCCCAGTGCTCCCAGTACCTGCCGCAGGTGCTCCCAGTCCCTCCCAGTGCTCCCAGTCCCGCCCACACCCTCCCGGTGCTCCCAGTCCCTCCCAGTGCTCCCAGTACCTGCCGCAGGTGCTCCCAGTCCCTCCCAGTGCTCCCAGTCCCTCCCAGTGCTCCCAGTGCTCCCAGTGCTCCCAGTACCTGCCGCAGGTGCTCCCAGTCCCTCCCAATGCTCCCAGTACCTGCCGCAGGTGCTCCCAGTCCCTCCCAGTGCTCCCAGTCCCTCCCATTGCTCCCGGTGCTCCCAGTCCCTCCCAGTGCTCCCAGTACCTGCCGCAGGTGCTCCCAGTCCCTCCCAGTGCTCCCAGTCCCTCCCAGTGCTCCCAGTGCTCCCAGTCCCTCCCAGTGCTCCCAGTCCCTGCTGCAGGTGCTCCCAGTCCCTCCCAGTGCTCCCATTGCTCCCAGTGCTCCCAGTCCCTCCCAGTGCTCCCAGTCCCTCCCAGTGCTCCCAGTACCTGCCGCAGCTGCTCCCTCCTGCACCCATGCTCTGCCCTGTGCTGCTCCTGTCGCAGCTCCAGCAGCTCCCCCGCTGCCTCCTTGCTGCTGCTGCTCCGGGGGGGGACACCCCAAATGAGGGCCCCCCCCCCCATGGACACCCCCCCCCCATAGTACCACAGTGGATGGGGGGGGCAGCGTAGTTTTGGGGTGCCCTTTATAGGGGTTCCCCCCCTTCACTCACTACAGAGACCAATGGGGGGGGCAAAGCAATGTTGGGGTCCCCCCAGTGAATTTGGGGTCCCTGAGTGCTTCAGTGGGGGTCCCAGGGTGGGGTTTATGGGGAACCCAACTTTTGGGGTGCTCCTTTCATAGGGGACCATTTCTTAGCCCTGAATGGCTTTGGCTTAAGGGGGGGTTGGGGTTCAAGGGGGGGATTTGGGGGTTCAAGGGGGGGGGTATGGGGGGGCTGGGTTTGGGGGGGCTGGGTTTTGTGGGGAGCCCACTTTTGGGGTGCCCCTTTCTTAGGGACCCCTCTCTTAGCCCTGAATGGCTTTGGCTTGGGGGGGTCTGAAGTACAACGGGAGAATCTGGGGTGCTCAAGGGGGGGATTTGGGGGTGCGGGGGGGGTCTGGATTTGGAGGGGGTTGGGTTTTGGAGTGACCCCACTTTTGGGGTGCTCCTTTCTTAGGGACCCCTTTCTTAGCCCTGAATGGCTTTGGCTTGGGGAGGGGGTTGGCTTCAAGGGGGGGATTTGAGGGCTCAAGGGGGGGGGTCTGTGTTTGGGGGGGCCCAGGTTTGGGGTGACTTCACATTTGGGGTGCCCCTTTCTTAGGGACCCCTTTCTTAGCCCTGAATGGCTTTGGCTTGGGGGGGGGGGTGGGTTGGGGTTCAAAGGAAGGGGTGTCCGGGGGGGGGGGGTTTGCAGAGCCCACTTTTGGGGTGCCCCTTTCTTAGGGACCCCTTTCTTAGCCCTGAATGGCTTTGGCTTGGGGGGGGGGGGTTGGGGTTCAAGGGGGGGATTTGAGGGCTCAAGGGGGGGGTGTCTGTATTTGGGGGGGGCCCAGGTTTGGGGTGACTTCACATTTGGGGTGCCCCTTTCTTAGGGACCCCTTTCTTAGCCCTGAATAGCTTTGGCTTGGAGGGGGGGGGTGGGTTGGGGTTCAAAGGAAGGGGTATCTGTGGTTGGGTGGGGGGCGGGTTTTTTGGGGAGCCCACTTTTGGGGTGCTCCTTTCTTAGGGGGCTCTTTGCTGCTGCCCTGAATGGCTTTGGCTTGGGGGGGGTTGGGGTTCAAGGGGGGGATTTGAGTCTGTGTTGGGGGGGGCCAGGTTTGGGGTGACTTCACATTTGGGGTGCCCCTTTCTTAGGGACCCCTTTCTTAGCCCTGAATGGCTTTGGCTTGGGGGGGGGGGTGGGTTGGGGTTCAAAGGGGGGGGGTTTTGGGGTGCAGGTGGGGAAGGTTTGGGGTGCGGGGTGGGGTGGGGGGTGTCAGGTTTTGGGGTCCCACCTTCCCCCCATGCGTTTGTGCAGGGCCAGGAGCCTCTTGAGGTGCTTCTTGTGCAGCTCCTTCAGCTCCCGGCTCTGCTGCTTGAGCAGCTTCACGTAGCCCTTGTGCTGCTGCAGCTCCTGCAGCGACGGTGGCAACACCTCTGGGGGGGCGAGGGGGGGTCAGGGGGGGGACCCCAAAACCCCTCGGGGGGGGGGGGGGGGCAGGAATTTGGGGGACACCCCCCCCCCCCCACCTTGTCTTGAACGTGGGGGGCGCATCCATTCCGGAGCATCCCGGGATGCCCAATGGGGGAGATGGGGTGGAAGGGGGGGGGTTTAGGGGTACAGGGGGGTTTATGGGTTTGGGGGGGTCCCCGAAGCTCCTTCTGGGGGGCAGCTGAGGGGGGATCCCCCCAAATCTTACCTGTGAGGACGCTGGCGATGAGGTCGTCCCTTTGACCTGTGGAGGGGGGACAATAATGGGGGTCCTGAGCGGGGGGGACCCCTCCTTTTTAGAGCCTCCACATCATGGGGGGCACCCCCTTACCTGGGCTGGACACAGGGGGGGGGCCGGGGGCGGGGGGCCCGGGCTGGGGAGGGGGCCGGGGTTCAGGGGGGGGGTCGGTGGCTGCGTCCCCTCGTGCCCCCCCCGGGGTCTCACGCGGCTTCTCGGGGTTCTCCTGGGGGGAAAAGGGGGGTTTAGGGGGCCCCAAAAGGGGTGACACCCCCCCTAAACCCCCCGGGACCTCCCCCAAACCCCCCTGGACCCCCCCCCAAACCTCCATGGACCCCCCCAAACTCCCCTGGGACTCCATCCAACCCTCCCTGGAGCCCCCCAAACCATCCTGGAACACCCCCAAACCTCCATGAACCCCCCCAAACCCCTCTGGACACATCCCAAACCTCCATGGACCCCCCCAAACCCCGTGGATCCACCCCAAACCCCCCTGGACCCCCCCCCCCAAACCTCCAAACCTGGAGGCCCCCCCCCCCCCCAAACCTCCATGGAGGCCCCCAACCCCCCCCTAGATACCCCTCAAACCCTCCTGGATCCCCCTCAAACCTCCATGGACCCCCCCAACCCCCCCAAACCTCCATGGAGGCCCCCAACCCCCCCTGCCCAAACCCCCCTAGACCCCCCCAAACCTTCATGGACCCCCCCAAACTCTTGAGCCCCCCCAACTCCTCCACCCTTCCCCATCAATCCCTTTCCCCATCACCCATCAAAGCCCCCCCAAACATCCTTAAGCCCCCCCCAAAGCCCCCAAAACCCTCAATGGGGTCCCCCCCAAACCCTTGGGACCCCCCCAAACCCCTTCAGAGCCCCCCCCCCCACCTCACTGTCCCCCATGAGGGCCGCCAGCTGCCGGGCACGTTGGTCCATGAGGCTGACGTGTTTGATGGGGTTGCTCAAGGCCTCGGCGTAATCTGGGGGGGTCCAAAGGGGAAACGGGGACCCCAAAAATGGGGGGACCCCCCCCCACAAACAATGGGGTGAGAGCCCCAAAGTGGGGAAGCCCCCCAAAATGGTGAGGATTCCCCCCACATGGCAGCACTGAGGAAGGAGCAATGGAGGTGCTGCATTGTACCCCCATTAAGAGGGGGTCAAACGTGGGGGGGGGGGGGGGCCAACACGGGGGAACCCCCCCCAAGTGTGCAAAGAGGGAAGCAAAGGGGGGTACCCCAAAATGGGGGAAATTGGGGCACCCCAAAACCAGGGACGCCCCAGAATGGATGCCCCAACACCCATTATAGGAGACACCCCATAAACAGGGGTGCCCCACAAATGGGGCCACCCAAAAACTGGGGGAGGGGGCCTTAAAGAGCTCCTGAGCCCCCCCAAAAAGTGAGGGATGGCCCCAAAAGGAGAGCGACTGCTCTCAAAAGGATGTTGGGGCTGCCTTGATCCCCACCCAGCACCGAGCCCTGGGGGTGCTGCTCCCCCCCCCCCAAGGTTTTGGGGTCCCCCCTCACCTTGGTGTCCCTGTGGGACGTAGTCGCAGGCCTGGGTGTACAGCAGCAGGGCGGGCAGGCAGAGGGGCTGGTTGCTCTCATTGCGCAGGCACACGTAGTGGTACCCTATGGGGGGGGGGGGCACAACATGGCGGCTGCTTGGGGGCTTCCCCCCTGAACCCCAAAACCTGCCCCAAACCGGCGCCCAGGGTAGGCCCAGGGCCGCGTTACCATGGCGACGGGACGGGGGCTGGCGCGGGGCATTGTGGGTAGCGCTGGGCGCCTGTTGCCGTGGCAACGGGGCTGGCGCGGGGCATTGTGGGTAGCGCTGGGCGCCTGTTGCCGTGGCAACGGGGCTTGGCGCGGGGCATTGTGGGTAGCGCTGGGCGCCTGTTGCTGTGGCAACGGGGCTTGGCGCGGGGCATTGTGGGTAGCGCTGGGCGCCTGTTGCCGTGGCAACGGGGCTGGCGCGGGGCATTGTGGGTAGTTCCCCGGCTCCCGTTGCCACGGCAACCGGCCGGCACCAGCACCCATCCGGCTCCCCATTGCCGCGGCCTCGAGGTATGCCCGAACAGTGGGAGCCCCCCTCCCCAGCACCCCCATTCCCATCCCCATTCCCATTGCTGTCCCCATCCCTATTCCCATTCCCTTTCCTATTCCCATCCCCATTCCCATTCCTGTTCCTATTCCCATCCCCATTCCCATTCCCGTTCCCATTCCCTTCCCCATTCCCATTCCCGTCCCCATTCCCGTTGCCATTCTCGTTCCAATTCCCATCCCCATTCCCGTTCCCATCCCTGTTCCCGTTTACGTTTCAATTCCCATTCCCATCCCTGTTCCTGTCCCCATTCCCGTTCTTGTTCCCTTCCCATTCCCGTTTCAATTCCCATCCCCATTCTCATTCCCGTTCCCTTTCCTGTTCCCATTCCCATTCCCGTTTCAATTCCCATTCCCATCCCTGTTCCCGTCCCCGTCCCCGTTCCCATTCCCATTCCTGTTCCAATCCCATTCCCATCCCCATTCCCATTCCCGTCCCCATTCCTGTTCCAATTCCCATTCCCATTCCCGTTTCCATTCCCATCCCCATCCCCATTCCCATTCTTGTTCCCGTTCCCTTTCCTGTTCCCATTCCTGTTTCAATTCCCATTCCCATCCCCATTCCCATTCCCATCCCCATCCCCATTCTCATTCCCGTTCCCATTCCTGTTCCCATTCCCATCCTTGTTCCCGTTCCCATCCCCATCCCCACTCCCATCCCCATTCTTGTTCCCATCCCTGTTCCCATTCCCGTTTCAATTCCAATTCCCATCCCCATTCCCATTCCCGTTTCAATTCCCATCCCCATTCCCATTCCAGTTCCCATCCCCATTCCCGTTCCTATTCCCATTCCCGTTCCAATTCCCACTCCCGTTCCAGTTCCCATCCCCATTCCCATTCCCGTTTCAATTCCCATTCCCATTCCCATCCCCATTCCAATTCCCATCCCCATCCCTATTCCCATTCCTGTTCTAATTCCCATCCCCATTCCCGTTCCCATCCCCATTCCCATTCCCGTTCCAGTTCCCATCCCCATCCCCATTCCCGTTCCCATTCCCATCCCCATTCCCGTTCCCATTCCCATCCCCATTCCCGTTCTCGTTCCCGTTCCCATTCCCGTTCTCATTCCTGTTCCCACTCCCATTCCCATCCCCATTCCCATCCCCATTCCCATCCCTGTTCTTGTTCCCGTTCTCATTCCTGTTCCCACTCCCATTCCCGTCCCCATTCCCATCCCCATTCCCATTCCTGTTCTTGTTCCCGTTCCCATTCCCGTTCCAACTCCCATTCCCATACCCATTCCCGTTCCAATTCCCATCTCCATCCCAATTCCCATCCCCGTTCCCATTCCCGTCCCCACTCCCATTCCCGTCCCCATCCCCATCCCCATCCCATTCCCCCCCTCACCGGAGCGCAGCGCAGCCACGGGCAGCACTCGGTGCCCCAGGAACCGCCCCCCCTCCTCATAGGCAGCCACACGCAGGGAGGCCAGGGAGGGCAGTACCACCTGCGGGAGGACGGGGGGGGTGGGTCACGGTAACACCGGGTACCCCCCCTCCCGGTACCCCCCCCCCGCCCCAAGCTGACCTTGGGGAACAGGAAGGGCTCCTCGTCCCACACCGGGTTGAACGGGTGCCCCTGGCAAGGCCGCGTGCGGAACCGGCGCCGCGTGTCCACGGGCAGCCCGAACACATCGACCTCCACATAGACCCCCCCGCGGCGCTCCGACAGGAACTGACCCGAGATCACCTGCGGGGGACAGGGGGGGGGGACACGGGGGAACGTCACCCCCCCCGGGACCCCAAAATCCACCCCCGGGGACCCCAAAATCCACCCCCAGGACCCCAAAATCCACCCTTGGGACCCCCAAATCCACCCCCAGGACCCCAAAATCACCCCCGGGACCCCAAAATTCCCCCTTGGGAACCTTAAATCCCCCCCAGGACCCCCAAATCCACTCCCGGGACCCCAAAATCCACCCCCGGGGACCCCAAAATCCACCCTTGGGACCCCAAAATCCACCCCCGGGACCCCAAAATCCACCCCCGGGACCCCAAAATCCAACCCCGGGGACCCCAAAATCCACCCCTGGGACCCCAAAATCCACCCCCGGGACCCCAAAATCCACCCCCGGGACCCCAAAATCCAACCCCGGGGACCCCAAAATCCACCCCTGGGACCCCAAAATCCACCCCCGGGACCCCAAAATCCAACCCCGGGACCCCCAAATCCATCCCCGGGACCCCAAAATTCCCACTTGGGAACCTTAAATCCCCCCTTGGAACCCCAAATCCCCCCTTGGGACCCCCAAATCCACCCTTGGGACCCCAAAATCCACCCTTGGGACCCCCAAATCCACCCCCGGGACCCCCAAATCCACCCCGGGGACCCCAAAATCCACCCCTGGGACCCCAAAATCCACCCCCGGGACCCCAAAATCCACCCCCGGGACCCCCAAAACCACTCTTGAAACCCCCAAATCCCCCTTGGAACCCCCAAGTCCACCCTTGGGACCCCCAAATCCCCCTTGGAACCCCCAAATCCACCCTTGGGACCCCCAAATCCACCCTTGGGACCCCCAAATTCCCCCCTTGGGACCCCAAATCCCCCCCAGGGAACCCCAAATCCCCCCCTGGGACCTCCAAATCCATCCCCAGGAACCACAGGTTTCCCCCTGGGACCTCCAAATCCATCCTTGGGACCTCCAAATCCCCCCAGGGACCCCCAAAACCACCCCCGGGACCCCCAAAACCACCCCGGGAACCCCAAATCCACCCCTGGGGCCCCCAAATTCCACCTCAGGACCCCCAAATCCCCCCCTGGACCCCCAAATCCACCCTTGGGACCCCAAATCCACCCCTGGGACCCCAAATCCCCCCTTGGGACCCCCAAATCCACCCCTTGGGACCCCCAAATCCACCCTTGGGACCCCAGATCCACCCCCGGGACCCCCAAATCTACCCTTGAAACCCCCAAATCCCCCCCTCAGGACCCCCAAATCCCCCTCCGGGACCCCCAAATCGCCCCTCGGGACCCCAAATCCACCCTTGGGACCCCAAATCCATCCTTGTAACCCCCAAATCCCCCCTCGGGACCCCAAATCCATCCTTGTAACCCCCAAATCCACCCCCGGGGGGGGGGGCTCAATCAAGGTGATGTGTTCCCCCCCCAATTTGGACACTGGGGGAGGGGGGGGAGGGTGTGTTCCACAGGGGGGGGGGGGGGGGTGGAGCCAGTTTGGGGGGGGGGGGTGTTGGGTGTGTTCTGAGCACCCCCATCTGTGGGGGGGGGGGGTTGGGTGTGTTCCAAGCACCCCCATTTTGGGGGGGGGTGGGGGGGGGTTGGGGGGGGGTGTGTTTCCGAGCACCCCCATTTTGGGGGGGGGTTGGGTGTGTTCCGAGCACCCCCATTTTGGGGGGGGGGGTTGGGTGTGTTCCGAGCGCCCCCATTTTGGGGGGGGGGGTGTTGGGTGTGTTCTGAGCACCCCCATTTGTGTGGGGGGGTTGGGTGTGCTCCGAACGCCCCCATTTTGTGGGGGGGGGGGTTGGGCGTGTTCTGAGCACCCCCATTTTGGGGGGGGGGGTTGGGGGGGGTTGGGTGTGTTCTGAGCACCCCCATTTGGGGGGGGGGGGTTGGGTGTGTTCCGAGCACCCCCATTGGGGGGGAGGGGGTTGGGTGTGTTCCGAGCGCCCCCATTGGGGGGGAGGGGGTTGGGTGTGTTCCGAGCGCCCCCATTTTGGGGGGGGGGGGGGTCCCCACCTGCACCCGCAGGGTGTTGGCCACGATCCCGTCCACCAGGTCCTCGGCGAAGGGGTCGAAGGCTTTGTCCGGGCGCCGCATGAACTCGGGCTTGAGCAGGAGCCCGCAGCGGGCGTTGTACTCAAAGAGCCCCAGGTTCAGCTGCATGGGCACGTCTGGGGGGGGATGGGGGGTTGGGATGGGGGGGATGTGGGGGGGGAGATGGGGGGGATGTGGGGGGGATGTGGGGGGGATACGGGGATGGGGGGGGATGGGGGGGGATGGGGGGGGGGATGGGGGGGATGTGGGGTGTGGGGTGGATATGGGGTGGGGACGATGGGGGGGATGGGGGGGGATGTGGGGGGGATGTGGGGCGGGGATGTGGGGTTGGGATGTGGGAGGGGATTTGTGGGGGTGGGTGTGGGGGGGGATGTGGGGATGGGATGGGGGCAGATGTGGGGGTGGGATGGGGGGGATGTGGGGGGGATGGGGGGTTGGGATGGGGGGGAATGTGGGATTGGGATGGGGGTGTCACACTATGGGTCAGGATCATGCTATGGGGCACGCTATGGGTCAGGGTCACGCTATGGGTCAAGGTGACGCTATGGGTCAGGGGCAGGCTATGGGTCAGGATCACGCTATGGGTCATGCTATGGGTCAGGGGCATGCTATGGGTCACGGGCACGCTATGGGCCAGGATCACGCTATGGGCCAGGTGCACGCTATGGGTCAGGGGCAGGCTATGGGCCAGGATCACGCTATGGGTTACGCTATGAGTCAGGGTCACGCTATGGGTCAGGGTCACTCTATGGGTCAGGGTCACGCTATGGGTCACGCTATGGGTCAGGATCACTCTATGGGCCAGGATCACGCTATGGGTCAGGATCACTCTATGGGTCAGGGGCACGCTATGGGTCACGCTATGGGTCAGGGTCACTCTATGGGTCAGGGGCACGCTATGGGTCACGCTATGGGTCAGGATCACTCTATGGGCCAGGGCCACGCTATGGGTCACGCTATGGGGCGCGCTATGGGGCGCGCTGTGGGGCGGCGCTGACCGAGGGTCTGGAAGTTGAGCGCAGCCATGTGGCAGCCCGCGTTCCAGAAGAGCTGCGGCTGGAAGTTGGAGGAGTCCACGCGGGTGCCCTTGGGGTAGACCCGGCTCAGCTGGCGCTTGTTGTACCTGGGCGTCAAGGAACGCGGCCCCACAGCGGCCCCACAGCCCCTGCGGCCCCCTAAGTGCACCCCAAACCCCTCTATGGACCCCTAAGTGCACCCCTAACCCCCCTATGGACCCCTAAGTGCACCCCAAACCCCTCTATGGACCCCTAAGTGCACCCCAAACCCATCTATGGACCCCTAAGTGCACCCCAAACCCCTCTATGGACCCCTAAGTGCACCCCAAACCCATCTATGGACCCCTAAGTGCACCCCAAACCCCTTTATGGACCCCTAAGTGCACCCCAAGCCCCTCTATGGACCCCTAAGTGCACCCCAAATGTGTCCATAGGGCCCTAAGTGCACCCCAAACCCCTCTATACGGCACTAAATGCACCCCAAACCCCTATGTAGGGCCCTAAATGCACCCCAAACCCCTCTATGGACCCCTAAATGCTCCCCAAACCCCCCTATGGACCCCTAAGTGCACCCCAAATCCCTCTATGGACCCCTAAGTGCACCCCAAACCCATCTATGGACCCCTAAGTGCACCCCAAACCCCTCTATAGGGCCCTAAGTGCACCCCAAATCCCTCTATGGACCCCGAAGTGCACCCCAAATCCCTCTGTGGACCACTAAGTGCACCCCAAACCCCTCTATAGGGCACTAAGTGCACCCCAAATGTGTCCATAGGGCCCTAAGTGCACCCTAAACCCCCCTATGGACCCCTAAGTGCACCCCAAACAACTCTATGGATGCCTAAGTGCACCCCAAATCCCTCTATGGACGCCTAAGTGCACCCCAAACCCCTCTATGGACCCCTAAGTGCACCCCAAATCCCTCTATGGACCCCTAAGTGCACCCCAAACAACTCTATGGACGCCTAAGTGCACCCCAAATCCCTCTATGGACGCCTAAGTGCACCCCAAACAGCTCTATGGACCCCTAAGTGCACCCCAAACCCCTCTATAGGGCCCTAAGTGCACCCCAAGCCCCTCTATGGACCCCTAAGTGCACCCCAAACCCCTCTATAGAAACCTAAGTGCACCCCAAATCCCTCTATGGAGCCCTAAGTGCACCCCAAACCCCTCTATGGACCCCTAAGTGCACACCAAACCCCTCTATGGACCCCTAAGTGCACCCCAAACCCCCCTATGGACCCCTAAGTGCACCCGAAACCCCTCTATGGACCCCTAAGTGCACCCCAAACCCCTCTATGGACCCCTAAGTGCACCCCAAGCCCCTCTATGGACCCCTAAGTGCACCCCAACTGTGTCCATGGGGCCCTAAGTGCACCCCAAACCCCACCTTTAACCCTCCCCCCCAAAGCCCCCCTCCTGCCCCACATCTCGGGGTCCCCCCGTCCCCCCCAGCGGATACTCCACGAACTCGAGGGGGCTCTTGGTGAGCTGCTCCAACCCCTTGGTCTCCACAAAGGACGACATCTCAAAGGCCTTGTTGCGCTCTGTGGGGGGGGGGCAGCACCCCAATATCAAACAGGGCCCACCCCCAAAGCCCAACGCCCCCTTAACCCCCGCCAAACCCCATCAGAACCCCCCCAAACCCCATCAGAACCCCCCCAAACCCCATCAGAACCATCCCAAACCCCTACAACCCTACACAAACCCCCTTAAACGCCCCCCCCAACCCCATCAGGACCCCCTTGAAACCCCTTTAACCCCCCTTCCAACCCCTTGAAGCCCCCCCCCAACACCATCAGGACCCCCCCAAACCCCATCAGAACCCCCTCAAAACCCCTTTTAGCCCCCCCAACCCCTTGAAACCCCCCCAAACCCCATCAGAACCCCCCCAAACCCTCTTAAATGCCTCCAAAACCCCATTAAACCCCCCTCAAAACCCCTTTAACTCCCACCCCCAACCCCTTGAAACCCCCCCAAAACCCTTGAACCCCCCCCCCCAACCCCATCAGGACCCCCCCAAACCCCATGAGAACCCCCCCAAGCCCTCTTAAATGCCTCCAAAACCCCATTAAACCCCCCCTCAAAACCCCTTTAACCCCCCCCAAACCCTTGAAACCCCCCCACCAACCCCATCAGAACCCCCCCAACCCCATCAGGCCCCCCCCAAACCCTCTTAAATGCCTCCAAAACCCCATTAAACCCCCCTCAAATCCCCATTAACTCCCCCCCCAACCCCTTGAAACCCCCCCAACCCCATCAGGACCCCCCCAAACCCTCTTAAATGCCTCTAAAACCCCATTAAACCCCCCTCAAAACCCCTTTAACCCCCCCCCAACCACTTAACCCCACCCCCCAACCCCATCAGGACCCCCCAAACCCCATCAGGCCCCCCCCAAACCCTCTTAAATGCCTCCAAAACCCCATTAAACCCCCTCTCAAAACCTCTATAACCCCCCCCCAACCCCTTGAAACCCCCCCCAACCCCATCAGGACCCCCCCAAACCCCATGAGAACCCCCCCAAGCCCTCTTAAATGCCTCCAAAACCCCATTAAACCCCCCCTCAAAACCCCTTTAACCCCCCCCCAACCCCTTGAAACCCCCCCCAACCCCATCAGGACCCCCCCCAAACCCCATCAGGCCCCCCCCAAACCCTCTTAAATGCCTCTAAAACCCCATTAAACCCCCTCTCAAAACCCCTTTAACCCCCCATACCCCCCCCATGTCCCCCCCCATGTCCCCCCCCGGCCCCACTGACTGCGGGCGGCCTGGAAGGACTTGAACTTGACGGGTTGGACGTAGTTGACCAGCGTGGACATCTCCTCGGTGGCCGTCACCTCGCTGCTGGCCGTGCCCTGGGGGGGGGGATGATAACACAATGGGGGGGGGGTCCTGACCCCCATCTTCCCCACCCCCCCCCATAGGGGTCCTGAGCACTCCCCCCCCCTCCCCGGGTCCTGACCTCATCGGTTGTTGGCTTCTTCATCTCCGGGGGCTCCTCCTCCTCCTCTTCCTCGCTGTCGGCGGCATCGCGGTCTGGGGGGGGGGGGGTTGGGGGAGCCTCTGTAATCTGTGACACCCCCCCTGCATCCCATAATAACCCCCCGCATCACATAACCCCCCCTGCATCCCATAATCACACCCAGCACCCCATAACCCCCCCTGCATCCCTTAATGCCCCCTGCATCCCATAACCCCCCCGGCATCCCATAATCACCCCCTGCATCCCATAACCCCCCCTGCATCCCATAATCACCCCCAGCACCCCATAACCCCCCCTGCATCCCATAATCACACCCAGCACCCCATAACACCCCTACATCCCATAACCCCCCTTACATCCCATAATCACCCCCAGCACCCCATAACCCCCCCTGCATCCCATAACCCCCCTTACATCCCATAACCCCCCTGCATCCCATAATCACACCCAGCACCCCATAACCCCCCCTGCATCCCATAACCCCCGTACATCCCATAATCACCCCCTACATCCCATAACCCCCCCAGCACCCCATAACCCCCCCCAGCAGCCCCAAACTGACCCCCAGCACCCCCAATCCCCTCCTAGCACCCCATAACCCCCCCTGCATCCCATAACCCCCGTACATCCCATAATCACCCCCTGCACCCCATAACCCCCCCTGCATCCCATAACCCCCCCTGCATCCCATAATCACCCCCTGCATCCCATAATACCCCCCCCCCACTCACCAATGGACTTTCGGGGTTCCCCCAGTCTGGAGCCCTTCTCCTCCCCATTGGGCACAGGGGAGACCCCAACTTCGGGGGGCTCCGAGGGGGGGCCTGGAGAGGAGAGGGGTTGGGGGGGACCCCAAAACCCGAGGGGGGTGGGTGGGTACCGGGGTCACTGGTTTTGGGGTGCAGGGGAAGGTTTTGGGGTTCAGGGGGGCATTGGGAGGTTTTGGGGTTCGGGAGGGGTCAGGGGGAGGTTTTGGGGTGCAGGGGGCCTGCGGGGGGGGTTGGGTACCGTTGTCGCTGGTTTTGGGGGGCAGGGGCAGGATTTGGGGTTCAGGGGGGCATTGGGAGATTTTGGGGTTCAGGAGGGGTCAGGAGGAGGTTTTGGGGTGCAGGGGGCCTGCGGGGGGTGTTGGGTACCGGGGTTGCTGGTTTTAGGGTGCAGGGGGTCACTGGGAAGCTTTGGGGTGCAGGGGGGCTACGGGGGGTTGGGTACTGGGGTCAAAGGTTTTAGGGTGCACGAGGGGGCCGGGGGAGGTTTTGGGGTGCGGGGGGGGGGGGGGCCCCGGGGTCACTGGTTTTGGGTTGAAGGGGGGGGCATTGGTAGTTTTTGGGGTGCAGAGTGGGGTACAGGAGGGTTGGGTACTGGGGTCGCTGGTTTTGGGGTGCAGGGGGGTAGAGGTGGGGTTGGGTACTGGGGTCACTGGTTTGGGGGTGCAGGGGGGGCATTGAGAGGTTTTGGGGTGCAGGAGAGCTGCGGGGGGGGGTTGGGTACCGTTGTCGCTGGTTTTGGGGTTCAGCGGCGGTTTTGGGGTCCCCCTCGGGTGCCGCTTCTTGTTCTTGACCAAGATCCGGCCCAGAAGGTCCTGGGGGCTGGGCAGGGGCACCCCCGGCTCCAGCTGCGGCACCCCAAAGTCAGGGGGGGCCCCATAGGATGAACCCCCCCAAACCAGCCCTGACCCCCCCAAACCCCAGCCCTCACCCCCCGAAACCAACCATGACCCTCCAAAACCCAGCCCTGACCCCCCCAAACCAACCCTGGCCCCCCAAACCAACCCTGACCCCCCCTAAACCTGCCCTGATGCCCCCAAACCCAGCCCGGACCCCCCCAAAACCAGCCCTGACCCCCAAACCCCAGCCCTCACCCCCCGAAACCAACCGTGACCCCCAAAACCCAGCCCTGACCCCCCTAAACCTGCCCTGATGCCCCCAAACCCAGCCCTGAGCCCCCCCAAACCACCACTGACCCCCCCAAACCAGCCCTGACCCCCCTAAACCTGCCCTGATGCCCCCAAACCAGCCCTGACCCCCCCAAACCCCAACCCTGAGCCCCCCAAAACCCAGCCCTGACCCCCTAAACCTGCCCTGATGCCCCCAAACCCAGCCCTGAGCCCCCCCAAACCCCAACCCTGAGCCCCCCAAAACCCAGCCCTGACCCCCCTAAACCTGCCCTGATGCCCCCCAAACCAACCCTGACCCCCAAAACCCAGCCCTGACCCCCCCAAACCCAGCCCTGACCCCCCCTAAACCAACCCTGACCCCCAAAACCCAGCCCTGACCCCCCAAAACCGACCCTGACACCCCTAAACCAACCCTGACCCCCCCAAAACCAACCCTGACCCCCCTAAACCAACCCTGACCCCCCCAAAACCAACCCTGACCCCCCCTAAACCAACCCTGACCCCCCCAAAACCAACCCTGACCCCCCCTAAACCAACCCTGACCCCCCCAAAACCAACCCTGACCCCCCTAAACCTGCCCTGACGCCCCCAAACGCAGCCCTGAGCCCCCCAAAACCAGCCCTGACCCCCCCAAACCAACCCTGACCCCCCAAACCCCAACCGTGACCCCCCCAAAACCACCCCTGACCCCCAAACCCCAGCCCTGAGCCCCCCCCAAACCCATCCCTGACCCCCCCAAACCCATCCTTGATACCCCCAAATCTTCCCCCCCAACTCCCGCCTTGGGGACCCCCAACATCGACCCCTGCACCCCCAAACCCACCGGGTACTTGTCCAGGGGGTCGATGAGCAGCGCGTCCCCGAAGATGCTGCGGCAATACTCGGCCATCTTCGCCTGCTGCTTGGCCCTGGGGGGGTATTGGGGTGCTGGGGGGGGGGGGAACCCCAAAACCTCACCCATCCCCCAGCCCCACCACACCCCCGTTTTGGGGGGAAAAAGGGGGGTTTTGGGGGTGGGGGGGGGGTGATGAATCCTTCCCATGGCAACATCGTCCCTGTTGTGGCCGTAGTGGTTTGGGGGGGGGGGGGATTGGGGGAGTTTTGGGGGGGTCAGGGCTGGGTTTGGGGGGTCAGGGTTGGTTTAAGGGGGGGTCAGGGTTGGTTTAAGGGGGGTCAGGGTTGGGTTTTGGGGGGTCAGGGCTGGTTTGGGGGGGTCAGGGTTGGTTTAAGGGGGGGTCAAGGTTGGGTTTTGGGGGGGTCAGGGTTGGTTTAGGGGGGTCAGGGCTGATTTGGGGGGGGCAGGGCTGGGTTTAGGGGTGCAGGTCCGGGTTTGGGGGGGTCAGGGTTCATTTGGGGGGTCAGGGCTGGTTTGGGGGGGGCAGGGTTGGTTTAGGGGGTCAGGGTTGGTTTGGGGGGGTCAGGGTTGGTTTAGGGGGTTCAGGGCTGGGTTTGAGTGGGTCAGGGTTGGTTATGGGGGGATCAGGGTTGGTTTTGGGGGGTCAGGGCTGGTTTTGGGGGGTCAGGGTTGAATTGGGGGGGGCAGGGCTGGTTTGGGGGGGGGTCTCCAGGGTTTGGGGGGCACCCACGAGTCCACGTGGTTCTCGAAGGACAGGATCACGGGGTACGGCGACGTCTTGAAGGCGCTTTCGGCGATGGCCTCAATCACCTCCTATGGGGGTCAATGGGGGTTCAAGGGGGGGCACCCCAAAACCTGAGCCCCCAAAAGGGGCCCGGGATGAGGTTTGGGGTGATCCCCATGGGGTTTGGGTGCTCGGAGCAGCCCAATGTGGGTGCTATGGGGTTGGAGGGCAGTTGGGGCTTCAGGGGGAGATTGAAGAGTACCAGGGGCAGGTTTTGGGGGTTCAGGGCTCAGGTTTGGGGTCTCAAGCTCAGGTTTTGGGTTCAGGGCTCAGGTTTGAGGGTCCCAAGCACAGGTTTTGGGTTCAGGACTCAGGTTTTGGGGTTCAGGGCTCAGGTTTGGGGGTCCCAGTCTCAGGTTTTGGGGTCCCAGGCTCAGGTTTTGGGGTCCCGGGCTCAGGTTTTGGGGTTCAGGACTCAGGTTTTGGGGTTCAGGCTCAGGTTTTGGGGGCTCAGGGCTCAGGTTTGGGGTCCCAAGCTCAGGTTTTGGGATTCAGGACTCAGGTTTTGGGGTTCAGGCTCAGGGTTCGGGGTTCAGGGCTCAGATTTGGGGGTTCAGGGCTCAGGTTCGGGGTTCAGGGCTCAGGGTTCGGGGTTCAGGGTTCGGGGTTCAGGGCTCAGGTTTGGGGTTCAGGGCTCAGGTTTCGGGGTTCAGGCTCAGGTTTTGGGTCCCTGGCTCATGTTTTGGGGTTCAGGACTCAGGTTTGGGGTCCCGGGCTCAGGCTTTGGGGTCCCAGGCTCAGGTTTTGGGGTTCAGGGCTCAGGTTTGGGGTCCCAGGCTCAGATTTTGGGGTTCAGGGCTCAGATTTTGTGGTTCAGGGCTCAGGTTTGGGGTTCAGGGCTCAGGTTTTGGGGTTCAGGCTCAGATTTTGGGGTTCAGGGCTCAGGTTTTGGGGTTCAGGGCTCAGGTTTGGGGTTCAGGGCTCAGGTTTGGGGTCCCGGGCTCAGATTTTGGGGTTCAGGGCTCAGGTTTGGGGTCCCAGTCTCAGGTTTTGGGGTTCAGGGCTCAGGTTTTGGGTTCAGGGCTCAGGTTTTGGGGTCCCAGTCTCAGATTTGGGGGTCCCAGGCTCAGATTTTGGGGTTCAGGGCTCAGGTTTTAGGGTCCCAGTCTCAGGTTTTGGGGTCCCGGGCTCAGATTTTGGGGTTCAGGGCTCAGGTTTCGAGGTTCAGGGTTCGGGGTTCAGGGCTCAGGTTTTGGGGTTCAGGGCTCAGGTTTGGGGTTCAGGGCTCAGGGTTCAGGGCTCAGGTTTTGGGGTTCAGGCTCAGGTTTTGGGGTTCAGGCTCAGGTTTTGGGGTTCAGGGCTCAGGTTTCGGGGTCCCAGGCTCAGGTTTTGGGGTCCCGGGCTCAGGTTTCGGGGTTCAGGGCTCAGGTTTGGGGTCCCAGGCTCAGGTTTTGGGGTTCAGGGCTCAGGTTTTGGGGTCCCAGTCTCAGATTTTGGGGTTCAGGGCTCAGATTTTGTAGTTCAGGGCTCAGGTTTGGGGTTCAGGGCTCAGGTTTTGGGGTTCAGGCTCAGATTTTGGGGTTCAGGGCTCAGGTTTTGGGGTTCAGGGCTCAGGTTTGGGGTCCCAGACTCAGATTTTGGGGTCTCAGGGCTCAGGTTTTGGGGTTCAGGGCTCAGGTTTTGGGGTCCCGGGCTCAGGTTTGGGGTTCAGGGCTCAGGTTTTGGGGTCCCGGGCTCAGGTTTGGGGTTCAGGGCTCAGGTTTGGGGTTCAGGCTCCGGTTTTGGGGTTCAGTGCTCAGGGTTCAGGCTCAGGTTTGTGGTTCAGGCTCAGGTTTTGGGGTTCAGTGCTCAGGGTTCGGGGTCCCCGCGGGCGCACCCTGAAGGGGATCTCGGTGGTCATGGTGAAGCCGTGTGTAATGACGGGCTCCTCCTCGGGGGGGCGCCCCTGCCAACAGTCCAGCTCCACGCAGCGGCAGCCGCTCAGCAGCACCTGCCGGTACATCTCCACCGAGGAGGCGCCGGTCAACTGCCCCGCTGCGGGGGGAAAAGGGGGGGGTCAGGGCACCCCGAAAACAGGGACCCCCCCAATGCAACCCCTAATGCACCCCCAAACAGGGACCCCCCAATGCAACCCCCAATGCACCCCCAAACACGGACCCCATCAATGGGCCCCAATGCAACCCCCAATGCATCCCCAAACAGGGACCCCTCAATACAACCCCTAATGCACCCCCAAACACGGACCCCCCAATGCAACCCCTAATGCACACCCAAAAAGTGACCCCCCAATGCAACACCCAATGCAACCCCAAACAGGGACCCCCCAATGCACCCCCAAACACAGACCCCATCAATGTGCCCCAATGCAACCCCCAATGCATCCCCAAACAGGGACCCCCCCAATGTGCCCCAATGTAAACCCTAATGCGCCCCCAAACAGGGACACCCCAATGTACCTCAATGCAACCTCAAATGCACCCCCAAACAGGGACACCCCAATGCAACCCCTAATGCACCCCCAAACAGGGACCCCCCCAATGTGCCCCAATGCAACGCTAATGCACCCCCAATGCATCCCCAAACAGGGACCCCCCAATGTGCCCCAATGCAACCCCCAATGCACCCCCAAACATGGACCCCCCAATGCAACCCCCAATGCAACCCCCAATGCACCCCCAAACATGGACCCCCCAATGCAACCCCCAATGCAACCCCTAATGCACCCCCAAACATGGACCCCCCCAATGCAACCCCCAATGGAACACCCCAATGCATCCACAAACAGGGACACCCCAATGCAACCCCCAATGCACCCCCAAACACAGACCCCATCAATGTGCCTCAATGCACCCCCAATGCATCCCCAAACAGGGACACCCCAATGCAACCCCCAATGCAACCCCCAAAGCACCCCCAACAGGGACCCCCCCAACCCCCAATGCAACCCCCAATGCAACCCCAAACAGGGACCCCTCAATTGATAACCCCCAATGGAACCCCCCCCATGATACCCCCAAACAGGGACCCCCCCCCATGATAACCCCCAAGGGACCCCCCCCCAATAACGCACCCCCCCCCCCATTGATAACGGGAACAGGGACCCCCCCCATTGATAACGGGAACAGGGACCCCCCCCCATTGATAACGGGAACAGGGACCCCCCCCATTGATAACGGGAACAGGGAAACAGGGACCCCCCCATTGATAACGGGAACAGGGAAACAGGGACCCCCACAATGTACCGCAATGCAACCCTTAATGCATCCCCAAACAGGGACCCCCCCCAATGTGATAATGTAAACAGGGAATGCCCCCCCACCCCAATGTATCAATGCAACCCCAAATGCACCCCCATTGATAACGGGAAGCCCCCAATGCAACACCCCAATGCATCCCCAACCAGGGACCCCCACAATGTACCCCAATGCAACCCCATTGATAACGGGAGGGGACACCCCCCCATTGATAATGGGAAACAGGGACCCCCCCCATTGATAACCCCAATGGGACCCCCAATAACAGGGACCCCCCCCCCATTGATAATGCAACCCCAAACAGTGACACCCCCCCCCCATTGATAACCCCTAATGCACCCCCCCCCAGGGATACCCCCATGTACCTCAATTGATAACCCAAACAGGGACCCCCCCCCCCCAATGATAACCAAACAGGGACCCCCCCCAACACCCAATGCAACCCCAAACAGGGACCCCCCAATGCACCCCCAAACACAGACCCCATCAATGTGCCCCAATGCAACCCCCAATGCATCCCCAAACAGGGACCCCCCCGCATTGAATGCACCCCCAAACAGGGACCCCCCCAACCCCCAATGATAACCCCCAATGCAACCCCTAATGCAACCCCCAATGCAACGCCCAATGCAACCCCTAATGCACCCCCAAACAGGGACCCCCCAATGCAACCCCCAATGCACCCCCAAACAGGGACCCCTCAATGCAACCCCCAATGGAACACCCCAATGCATCCCCAAACAGGGACACCCCAATGCACCCCCAAACAGGGACCCCTCAATGCAACCCCCAGTGGAACACCCCAATGCATCCCCAAACAGGGACACCCCAATGCACCCCCAAACAGGGATCCCCCAATGTACCTCAATGCAACCCCAAATGCACCCCCAAACAGGGATCCCCCAATGTACCTCAATGCAACCCCAAATGCACCCCCAAACATGGAGCCCCCAATGCAACACCCGAATGCATCCCCAAACACGGACCCCCACAATGTACCCCAATGCAACCCCAAACAGGGACACCCCAATGCAACCCCTAATGCGCCCCCAAACATGGACCCCCCAATGCAACCCCCAATGCACCCCCAAACAGGGACCCCCCCAATGCAACCCCAATGCACCCCCAAACAGGGACCCCCCAATGCAACCCCAATGCACCCCCAAACAGGGACCCCCCAATGCAACCCCCAATGCAACCCCCAATGCAACCCCAAACAGGGACCCCCCAATGCACCCCCAAACACGGACCCCATCAATGTGCCCCAATACAACCCCCAATGCACCCCCAAACAGGGACCCCCCAAAGCAACCCCTAATGCACCCCCAAACATGGACCCCCCAATGCAACCCCTAATGCACCCCCAAACACGGACCCCCCCAATGCACCCTAATGCAACCCCCAATGCACCCCCAAACACGGACCCCCCAATGTACCCCAATGCAACCCCCAATACACCCCCAAACACGGACCCCCAATGTACCCCAATGCACCCCCAAACAGGGACACCCCTGTTGTTGATGCAGGGTTGGATGCTGATTTGGATGCAGGATTAGGGATGCAGGTTTAGGGATGCAGGGCTGGATGCAGGGCTGGATGCAGGGTTGGATGCAGGGCTGGATGCAGGGTTGGATGCAGGTTTGGAAGCAGGGTTGGATGCAGGGTTGGGGATGCAGGGATGGATGCAGATTTGGATGCAGGGTTGGATGCAGGTTTTAGGGAGGCAGGTTTGGAGGCAGGGTTTAGGGATGCAGGCTTAGGGATGCAGGCTTAGGGATGCAGGGCTGGATGCAGGGCTGGATGCAGGGCTGGATGCAGGGTTGGAAGCAGGGCTGGATGCAGGGTTGCATGCAGGGCTGGATGCAGGTTTGGAAGCAGGGTTAGATGCAGGTTTGGATGCAGGGCTGGATGCAGGGTTGGATGCAGGGCTGGATGCAGGGCTGGATGCAGGGCTGGATGCAGGGCTGGAAGCAGGGTTGGATGCAGGGCTGGATGCAGGCCTGGATGCAGGGTTGGAAGCAGGGCTGGATGCAGGGTTGGAAGCAGGGTTAGATGCAGGGTTGGATTCAGGGCTGGATGCAGCGTTGGAAGCAGGGTTAGATGCAGGTTTGGATGCAGGGCTGGATGCAGGGCTGGAAGCAGGGCTGGATGCAGGGCTGGATGCAGGGTTGGAAGCAGGGCTGGATGCAGGTTTGGAAGCAGGTTTGGATGCAGGGTTGGATGCAGGGCTGGAAGCAGGGCTGGATGCAGGGTTGGATGCAGGGTTGGAAGCAGGGCTGGATGCAGGGCTGGATGCAGGGCTGGATGCAGGGTTGGATGCAGGGTTAGATGCAGGTTTGGATGCAGGGCTGGATGCAGGGTTGGAAGCAGGGTTGGATGCAGGGCTGGATGCAGGGTTGGATGCAGGGCTGGATGCAGGGCTGGATGCAGGGTTGGATGCAGGGTTGGAAGCAGGGCTGGATGCAGGGTTGGATGCAGGGTTGGATGCAGGGCTGGATGCAGGGTTGGATGCAGGGTTGGATGCAGGGTTGGATGCAGGGTTTAGGGATGCAGGGCTGGATGCAGGGTTGGATGCAGGGCTGGAAGCAGGGCTGGATGCAGGGCTGGATGCAGGGTTTAGGGATGCAGGGCTGGTACCGGTGAGGTAGGTGTTGTGCGAGGAGCTGATGAAGTAGCTGGCCAGGGGCTGGCTCATGTCCTGGTGCAGGCGCAGGCTCTCGGGGGGGACGATGCTGTTCTCCTCCCCCCCCAGGAACCGCCCGAAGCCCTCCATGGACATCTGCCCTGGGGGGGGCACCCGAAACTCACCCCCAACCCCTGCTGGGGACCCTCCACCCAACCCCAGAGACCCCCAACCCCCCCCAGAGGGACCCCAAAACCCCCATCAGGAGCCCCAAACCCCATCCAGGACCCCAAAACCGGCTTCAGGACCCACAAAACCCCCTTGGGACCCCAAAACTCCCCTCAGGACCCCTGAAACCCCATCAAGGGACCCCTAAAACCCCCTTTAGGGCCCTCCAAACCCCCCCTTAAACCCCATCCAGACACGCCCAAACCCCCCTTCCCCCCCTTAAACCCCATCCAGAGACCCCCAAACCCCCCCTTAAACCCCATCCAGACACCCCCAACCCCCCCTTAAAGCCCATTCAGACACCCCCAAACCCCCCTTAAACCCCATCCAAGCCCCCCAAACCCCCCCTTAACCCCATCCAGACACCCCCAAATCCCTCTTCCCCCCCTCAAACCGCCTCCAGAGACCCCCAAAACCCTCTTAGGAACCCCTTAAACCCCATCCAGACACCCCCAAACCCCCCTTAAACCCCATCCAGACACCCCCAAACCCCCCTTAAACCCCATCCAAGCCCCCCAAACCCCCCTTAAACCCCATCCAAGCCCCCCAAAACCCCCTTAAACCCCATCCAGACACCCCCAAACCCCCCCTTAAACCCCATCCAGACACCGCCAAACCCCCCTTAAACCCCATCCAGACACCCGAAAACCCCACTTAATCCCGATCAAAGCCCCCCAAACCCCCCTTAAACCCCATCCAAGCCCCCCAAACCCCCCTTAAACCCCATCCAAGCCCCCCAAAACCCCCTTAAACCCCATCCAGACACCCCCAAACCCCCCTTAAACCCCATCCAGACACCCCCAAACCCCCCTTAAACCCCATCCAAGCCCCCCAAAACCCCCTTAAACCCCATCCAGACACCCCCAACCCCCCTTAAACCCCATCCAGACACCCCTAAACCCCCCTTCCCCCCCTTAAACCCCATCCAGACACCCCCAAACCCCCCCTTAACCCCATCCAGACACCGCCAAATCCCTCTTCCCCCCCTCAAACCGCCTCCAGAGACCCCCAAAACCCTCTTAGGAACCCCTTAACCCCACCCAGAGACCCCCAAACCCCCCTCTAACCCCATCCAAGCCCCCCAAACCCCCCCTTAACCCCATCCAGACACCCCCAAACCCCTCCTCAGTGCCCCCCAAACCCCCTTTATAACCCCCCCCCGCACTGACCGCGCTGCCGGAACTGCAGGTTGGGCTCGTAGCGCTGCACCAGCGCCCGCGCCTGCTCGGCGCTCAGCGGGGGGAACAGGACCTCGTTGAGCCGCGGGTCCCGCTGCCGGCAGTTCACGAAGTCCCGGAGCTGCTCCAGGCTCAGGTACGGCTTCCCCGCGGCGCCGCTGCCATGGGGAGGGGGAAAAGGAGTCACGGTGACCCATAGCGACCCATAGAACCTCATAGCATCCCATAGAGCCTCATAGCATCCCCATAGAACACCATAGCATCCCATAGAGCACCATAGCATCCCATAGAGCACCGTAGCATTCCCATAGAACACCATAGCATCCCATAGAGCACCGTAGCATCCCATAGAGCACCATAGCATCCCATAGAGCACCATAACATCCCATAGAGCACCATAGCATCCCATGGAGCACCATAGCATCCCCATAGAGCCTCACAGTATCCCATAGAGCCTCATAGCATCCCATAGAGCACCATAGCATCCCATAGAGCACCATAGCACCCCATAGAGCACCATAGCATCCCCATAGAACACCATAGCATCCCATAGAGCACCGTAGCATCCCATAGAGCCTCATAGCATCCCATAGAGCACCATAGCATCCCATAGAGCCTCATAGCATCCCATAGAGCACCATAGCACCCCATAGAGCACCATAGCATCCCCATAGAACACCATAGCATCCCATAGAGCACCGTAGCATCCCATAGAGCCTCATAGCATCCCATAGAGCACCATAGCATCCCCATAGCACCCAACCCTGCTCCAGGCTCAGGTACGGCTTCCCCACGGCGCCGCTGCCATGGGGGGGCACACACAGGGGTCACGGTGACCCATAGCGCCCCATAGTGACCCATAGAACACCATAGCATCCCACAGAGCACCATAGCATCCCCATAGAGCACCATAGTGACCCATAGAGCACCATAGTGACCCATAGAGCCTCACAGCATCCCATAGAGCACCATAGTGACCCCTAGAGCCCCATAGTGACCCATAGAGCACCATAACATCCCATAGAGCCTCATAGCATCCCACAGAGCACCATAGCATCCCAAAGCGCCCCATAGTGACCCACAGTGCCCCATACAGCACCATAGCATCCCATAGCGCCCCATAGCATCCCCATAGCACCCCTATAGCACCCCATAGCACTGCTGTAGCACCTGTAACACTCCTTTAGCACCCCTATAGTACCCATAGCACCCCTATAGCACCCCATCACACCCCTATGGTACCCACAGCACCCCATAGCACCACTGTAGCACCCATAGCACCCCTATAGCACCCCTACAGCACCCATAGCACCCCTATAGCACCCCATAGCACCCCTATGGCACCCATAGCACCGCTGTAGCACCCATAGCACCCCTATAGCACCCCTACAGCACCCCAATAACACCCATAGCACCCCTATAGCCCCCCATAGCCCCCACAGCACCCACGCCCCCCGCACTGGCGGCACGGGGGCACCCACATCTCCAGCAGGATCTTGTCGATGTCGGGGCGCAGGCAGAGCTTGCTCAGGAAGCGCCGGAACGTGTCCAGGGAGAACTCCTCGGGGGGGATGGCGTCGCTCTGGGGGCACCCCGAGACTGAGGGGGGAGGGCAAACCCCCCCCAGCACCCAAATTCACCCATCAGCACCCAAACCCCCCCATCAGCACCCAAATTCACCCATCAGCACCCAAACCCCAGGAGCACCCAAACCCCATCAGCTCCCAAACCCCATCAGCACCCAAACCCCAGGAGCACCCAAATTCACCCATCAGCACCCAAACCCCCCCATCAGCACCCAAATTCACCCATCAGCACCCAAACCCCTCCATCAGCACCCAACCCCCCCCCATCAGCACCCAAAACCCATCAGCACCCAAATTCACCCATCAGCACCCAAAACCCATCAGCACCCAAACCCCTCCATCAGCACCCAACCCCCCCCCATCAGCACCCAAAACCCATCAGCACCCAAATTCACCCATCAGCACCCAAAACCCATCAGCACCCAAACCCCTCCATCAGCACCCAAACCCATCAGCTCCCAACCCCCCCCATCAGCACCCAAACCCCTCCATCAGCACCCAAAACCCATCAGCACCCAAATTCATCCATCAGCACCCAAACCCCAGCAGCACCCAACCACTCCCAGCAGCACCCAAACCCATCAGCACCCAAATTCACCCATCAGCACCCAAACCCCTCCCATCAGTACCCAAACCCCTCCATCAGCACCCAACCCCCCCATCAGCACCCAACCAATCCCATCAGCACCCAAAACCCATCAGCACCCAAATTCACCCATCAGCACCCAACCCCCCCCCCCCATCAGCACCCAAACCCCTCCATCAGCACCCAACCCCCCCCCCATCAGCACCCAACCGCCCCATCAGCACCCAAACCCCATCAGCACCCAAACCCCAAGAGTGCCCTGGTTTGGGGTGCTCTGGTTTAGAGGTGCCCATGGGTGGGGGGGGTCCCGGTCTGGAGGGGTCCTGCTTTGGGGGTGCCCATTTGGGGGGGGGCCCAGTTTGGAGGGGCCCGGTTTGGGTGGGTCCCGGTTTGAAGGGCCAGGTTTGGGGGTTCCCAGTTTAGGGGTGCCCATTTGGGGGTGCCCCGGTTTGGGGGGGTCCTGGTTTGGGGGTGCCCGTTTGGGGGTGCCCCGGTTTGGGGGGGGCCATACCCGGTTGCAGCTCAGGCCGCACGACTCCAGCGCCGTCTCCACGCGCTTCTTGTCAGCAGAGAACATCTTCAGGATGCTGGGGGGGACCCCAAAAATGAGGGGGGGACCCCAAGAATGGGGGGGGCCAAATATGGGGGGGCCCAAAAATGGGGGGGGGGGCAAAATGAGGTGGGGGGGGGGGGGCCAAAAATGAGGCAGGGGGGCCTAAATATGAGGGGTGGGCCCAAAAATTAGGGGGGCCCAAAAATGGGGGGGGGGGGCAAAAATGAGGGGGGAGGCCCCAAAATGGGGGCGGGGGGGCCAAAAACGAGGGGCAGGCCCAAAAATGAAGAGGGACCCTAAAACTTAGGGGGGGCCCAAATGTGGGGAGGTCAAGAAAGGGGACCCCAAAAGAGGGGACCCCCCCATAAAACGGGTCTCAAGATGCTGGGGGGCACCAAAACCCCCACAATGGGGGGGGGGGAGAGAATTGGGGGTACCCCAAAATCCTGGGTGGGGATCCCTAAAATGAGGCTTGGGGGTGGGGGGCAATTTTGGGGGTGGATTTGGGGGTCCCCTAAGGTCTGAAGGACCCCATTGTGGGGGGGGCCCCCCCCTTGGTTTTGGGGTTCACTCACTTCTTGACGGGGATGCGCCCATCCTGGTTCACCTGGAGCCGCAGCTTCGTGTAGCTGGGGGGGGGGGCAGGAAGGGGTTGGGGGGAGGGCACTGGGGGAAATTTGGGGTGCGGGGGGGGGTTGAGGGTCCCTGGGGTGCAGGGCTCAGGGTGCAGGGTTTGGGGTGTGAGGTTTAGGGGTGGGGGGGGGGGGTTGGGGTGCAGTTTTGGGTGTGGTTGGGGTGCAGGTTTTTGGGGTGCAGATTTGGGGGTGCAAGGGGTGGATTGGGGGTGCAGGGGGTGGTTTTGGGGTGCAGGTTTGGTTGTGTTTGGGGTGAAGGGGGCTGGGGCGCAGGGGTTGTGTTTTGGGGTGCAGGGGTGGTTATGGGGTGCAGGGTTTGGGGTGCAGGTTTTGGGATGCAGGGTTTGGGGTGCAGGGTTTGGGGTGCAGGTTTGGGTGTGGTTTGGGGTGCAGGGTTTGGGGTGCAGGGTTTGGGGTGCTGTTTCTGGGGTGCAGGGTTTGGGCTGCAGGGTTTGGGTGTGTTTTGGGGTGCAGGTTTTGGGGTGCAGGGTTTGGGGTGCAGGTTTTGGTGTGTTTTGGGGTGCAGGTTTTAGTGTGTTTTGGGGTGCAGGGTTTGGGGTGGTTTTGGGGTGCAGGGTTTGGGGTGCAGGGTTTGGGGTGCAGGGTTTGGGAGTGTTTTGGGGTGCAGGTTTTGGGATGCAGAGTTTCGGGTGCAGGGTTTGGGGCGCAGGGTTTGGGGTGCAGGGTTTGGGTGTGTTTTGGGATGCAGGGTTTGGGGCGCAGGGTTTGGGGTGCAGGGTGTGGGGTGCAGGTTTGGGGGTGTTTTGGGGTGCAGGTTTTGGGATGCAGGGTTTGGGGTGCAGGGTTTGGGTGTGTTTTGGGGTGCAGGTTTTGGGATGCAGGGTTTGGGGTGCAGGGTGTGGGGAGCAGGTTTTGGTGTGTTTTGGGGTGCAGGGGTGGTTTTTGGGGTGCCGGTGTCGGGGTGCACCCACGCTTTGCGCAGGAAGGTGTTGCGCGACGCGTTCCGGGCCAGGATGTTGGTGGCCAACTTGAAGAGCTCCTCGGTCCATACCTGGAATCCCCCCATCAGCACCCAAACCCCATCAGCACCCAAACCCCATCAGCACCCAACCCCCCCATTAGCACCCAACCCCCCCATCAGCACCCAAACCCCATCAGCACCCAACCCCCCCATCAGCACCCAAACCCCCCCATCAACCCAACCCCCCCCATCAGCACCCAACCCCCCCCATCAGCACTCAAAACCCATCAGCACCCAAACCCCCCCCAGCACCCAACCCCCCCCATCAGAACCCAACCCCCCATCAGCACCCAACCAACCCATCAGCACCCAAACCCCCCCATCAACCCAACCCCCCCCATCAGCACCCAACCCCCCTTCAGCACCCAAACCCCATCAGCACCCAAACCCCCCATCAGCACCCAAAACCCATCAGCACCCAAACCACCCCCATCAGCACCCAACCCCCCCATCAGCACCCAAACACATCAGCACCCAAACCACCCCCATCAGCACCCAAAACCCATCAGCACCCAAACCACCCCCATCAGCACCCAACCCCCCATCAGCACCCAACCCCATCAGCACCCAAACCCCCCCCATCAGCACCCAAACCCCATCAGCACCCAACCCCCCATCAGCACCCAACCCCATCAGCACCCAAACCCCCCCCATCAGCACCCAACCCCATCAGCACCCAAACCCCACCCTGGGACCCCAATGGGCACCCAAAGACCCTCAAGGACCATTCAGACCCCCTTGAATCCCCCCCAAACCCCCACCCGGGACCCATAGGCGGGTCCCAGCCCCCCCCCCCCCCCGCCCCAGCACCCATGGGTGCACCTTGGCCACGTGGTCCTGCACGGCCAGGAAGTTGAGGAAGGCGACGTTGACCATGTCGGGGCCGTGCACCACGGTCAGGAGCCGCTCCTGGGGGTGCCCCCCTGCACCCCCAAACCCCAACAGCTCCCGCGTGCGGGGGTCCTGCACCGGCACCCATGGGTGCCCCCAGCCATGCTCAGAGGGTGCCCGGAACAGGGTGACCACAGCACCCGCAGCACTCAGAGCACCCCAAAACAGGGTGCCCATAGAATCCAGAGCACCCTGAAACAGGAACCCAGAGCACCCCAAAACAGGGTGCCCATAAAACCCACAGCACCCTGAAACAGGCACCCAGAGCATCCCAAGACAGGCACCCAGAGCACCCCAAAACAGGGTGCCCATAGAACCCAGAGCACCCCAAAACAGGGTGCCCATAGAACCCACAGCACCCTGAAACAGGCACCCACAGCACCCCAAAACAGGGTGCCCATAGAAACCAGAGCACCCTGAAACAGGCACCCAGAGCACCCCAAAACAGGGTGCCCATAGAAACCAGAGCACCCTGAAACAGGCACCCAGAGCACCCCAAAACAGGGTGCCCATAGAAACCAGAGCACCCTGAAACAGGCACCCACAGCACCCAGAGCACCCCAAAACAGGGTGCCCATAGAACCCACAGCACCCTGAAACAGGCACCCAGAGCACCCCAAAAAAGGGTGCCCATAGAAACCAGAGCACCCTGAAACAGGCACCCAGAGCACCCCAAAACAGGGTGCCCATAGAATCCAGAGCACCCTGAAACAGGCACCCACAGCACCCAGAGCACCCCAAAACAGGGTGCCCATAGAACCCACAGCACCCTGAAACAGGCACCCACAGCACCCCAAAACAGGGTGCCCATAGAACCCAGAGCACCCAAAACAGAGTGCCCATAGAAACCAGAGCACCCAAAACAGAGTGCCCAGAGCACCCTGAAACAGGGCACCCAGAGCACCCCAAACAAAGCGCCCACAGAACCCCAAAACAGGGCACCCATAGCACCCATAGAACCCTAAAACAAGGCGCCCACAGAACCCAGAGCACCCTCAGCACCCCGAAACAGGCACCCAGAGCACCCAGAAACAGGGTACACACAGCACCCATAGCAACCTAGACCAGGCACCCACAAAACAGGGCACCCATAGCACCCACAGCAACCTAGACCAGGCACCCACAAAACAGGGCACCCATAGCACCCACAGCAACCTAACCAGGCACCCACAAAACAGGGCACCCATAGCACCCACAGCAACCTAACCAGGCACCCACAAAACAGGGCACCCATAGCACCCACAGCAACCTAGACCAGGCACCCACAAAACAGGGCACCCATAGCACCCACAGCAACCTAGACCAGGCACCCACAAAACAGGGCACACACAGCACCCACAGCAACCTAGACCAGGCACCCACAAAACAGGGCACCCATAGCACCCACAGCAACCTAACCAGGCACCCACAAAACAGGGCACCCATAGCACCCACAGCAACCTAGACCAGGCACCCACAAAACAGGGCACCCATAGCACCCACAGCAACCTAGACCAAGCACCCACAAAACAGGGCACCCATAGCACCCACAGCAACCTAGACCAAGCACCCACAAAACAGGGCACCCATAGCACCCACAGCAACCTAACCAGGCACCCACAAAACAGGGCACCCATAGCACCCACAGCAACCTAACCAAGCACCCCCAGCACTCCAAAACAAGACACCCACAGCACCCATAGCAATCCAAACCAGGCACCCAGAGCACCCTGAAACACCCATAGAACTCTCAGCACCCCAAACTGGGCACCCATAGAACCCCAACACAGGGTGCGCACAGCACCCAAAACCAGCACCCAGAGCCCCCCCCCTCCCCAGCACCCATCTGAAGCCCCCTCACCTTTGGCACCCGCGCGTAGCGCCCGGTCCGGGTGTCGCGGATCACACAGATGTCCAACAGATCCACCTCCTGTGGGAGCCAGCACCCATAGCACCCAGAGCACCCATTGCGGGCACCCAGAGCACCCATTGCGGGCACCCAGAGCACCCATCACACAGATGTCCAACAGATCCACCTCCTGTGGGAGCCAGCACCCATAGCACCCATTGCGGGCACCCAGAGCACCCATCACACAGATGTCCAACAGATCCACCTCCTGTGGGAGCCAGCACCCAGAGCACCCAGAGCAGGCACCCATAGCACCCATTGCAGGCACCCAGAGCACCCATCACACAGATGTCCAACAGATCCACCTCCTGTGGGAGCCAGCACCCAGAGCACCCAGAGCACCCATTGCGGGCACCCAGAGCACCCATCACACAGATGTCCAACAGATCCACCTCCTGTGGGAGCCAGCACCCAGAGCACCCATAGCACCCAGAGCACCCACTGCGGGCACCCAGAGCACCCATCACACAGATGTCCAACAGATCCACCTCCTGTGGGAGCCAGCACCCATAGCACCCAGAGCACCCATTGCAGGCACCCAGAGCACCCATCACACAGATGTCCAACAGATCCACCTCCTGTGGGAGCCAGCACCCAGAGCACCCATTGCGGGCACCCAGAGCACCCATCACACAGATGTCCAATAGATCCACCTCCTGTGGGAGCCAGCACCCAGAGCACCCAGAGCACCCATTGCGGGCACCCAGAGCACCCATCACACAGATGTCCAACAGATCCACCTCCTGTGGGAGCCAGCACCCAGAGCACCCAGAGCGGGCACCCAGAGCACCCACAATGGGCACCCAGAGCACCCAGAACGGGCACCCATAGC